GCAAATCCCGGACATTAAGTTGCTAAGAGTAAATTTTGATATTAATGCTCTACTTTTGTTGTCTAGTTTTAAATCCGAAATCCAAACATATATGTATATATGAACTTGCAGGCGGATCATGTCGCATTAGCTATATCACAATGTTGTGTTATTTACTTTTCTATTGTAAAATTGTAAAATGTATCTAGACTTTAAACATCAAGTTGTTATAATATTTATCTATCGATTATAAGCAACGTAAACGGCTCGAATATGCTTTTATTTTGAAGAGTATTTGGTCTGTGAAATCATATATTTATAAATATTCATATTACTATCCGTTATTTATATCTTGTAAAAAAAAATCATTTAGTATACGGTATTTCTTAAGTGGAAGACCATATTCATAGCCGTATATTAAAATGTTCAGCTATTTACAAAGTTATAGATGGAATTTGGAGAATCCTTAAAGGTGTTCTTTTTAATATTTGCATTAGTACTATGGTTTTTGAACTCAGTTACATAATCAATGTATTTAGAATGTTTTGAATTTTTTACGATAAAAAAAAATCGTGCCAGTTTATCGGTTTAAGAGGAATATACTTGGGATTCATGATTGTGTTACAAGTGGAATGGCTTATAGGTCTAAGATATTGACACTGGAACTTTGAGTGATCATTGATAATTGATTGAAACAAAGCAATGACTGTTAGGAAGACTTAGTACGGTAAGTAAGACAAACCATTATATATTGCATATTTTTGTCAAAAGTTCATCCTTAAGTGTTGCTAATTGTGAATTATATGTATTATTCAGGAAATCCCTTTGAATTACAGGTTTAAATTACTTTGATGAATAATTGATAAATGATACAATTTATGATAAATTATCAGTTTAAATAAGGTAATGAAAATGAAAATAGCGTCAGGTTAGGGGGAGGGTTGAGCGCTCACAAACATGTTTAACCCCGCCACATTATATATGTGCTTGTCCTAAGTCAGGAGCCTGTAGTTCAGTGGTTGTCGTTGGTTCATGTCTGTCATATTTGTTTTTCGTAAATTGGTTTGTTATAAATTAAGCTGTTAGTTTTCTCAATTGAATTGTTCCATATTTTTCATGTCGGGGCCTTGTATAGCCGACAATACGGTATGGGTTTTTCTCTTTGTTGAAGGTCGTACGGTTGCCTATAATTGCTTACATCAACTTCATTTGAACTTTGGTGGATAGGTGTCTCATTGGCAATCATACCACATCTCCTTGTTTTTATATCAATAGCGTTACCTTCACCAAGAACCCTCAAACCAAACATATGAAAGGATCGAATATATTCGATGCGTTGTTTCCATTGCGAATCAATTTTGTAAGTGTCCTCCCTTGACTTTCATTTTTTCTACATATTATTTAAAAAGAAACCAAAGATACTGACGGTAGGCTTTTCCGAAATAATCTTTATCACATATACTAGAAATTTTAACAGCCAAATATTTAGACCGTGTGTGAGCATCATAACCAAATGCGCCAAACAGAATAGATAAGCTTTGACTCCGACCTTAATTGATGCAAGCTTACAATAAGTAACCAAAATTTACAGTAAAAATATTGTATCTTAAACATTCATACCATTTTTTACCGTAGTTAAGGGTTAACCAAATCGCAAGCGGTACCAATTATAAGTGTGTGAACTTTATCTTTCATTTTGGTGTATCTTATGTATCTCATCGCTGAAGACTTACTAGTAACAATAGGGATAATGGATAGCAACTCCTAATCCCGGTTTATTTAGAAGAATAATACACCATTAGGGTGTTTGTCGACTAAGGTACATCTCTCTTTCCTTCGAAATACACATTTGCCTTTAAAAAAAGTATACTAGTACCCAATCAACAATTTCAGTATAAAATTGCAGACTGTATAACAACACATGAAACGCTCGATCGTCATGGGACATTATATGTTTAATATCAACTTTAAGACAGTACTGTAGAAACATGATGATATAAATAAGAAGATGTGGTATGAGTGCCAATGAGACAAGTATCCATCCAAGTCACAATGTGTAAAAAGTGAACAATTATAAGTCAAAGTACGGCCTTCAATACGGAGCCTTGGCTCACACCGAACAGCAAGCTATAAAGGGCCCCAAAATGACTAGTGTAAAACAATTCAAACAGGAGAACCAACGATCTAATCTATATAAAAATCTATATATGAGTCTGTATTCAGACAGCGAAAAAGCACAAAAAAGAGAGGCGGAAGATACCAAGGAATATTCAATCTCAAAAGTCATGATAAACTGACAATACCATTGGGAAAAACAACCAAAGAACAAACAACAGTAAACAAAACAGAAGATGGAAGACTAAAAACTGAGCAACACGAATCTCACTAAAAACCTGAGGTGACCTCAGGTGGTCTGAAAGGTTAAGTAGTTCCTGCTCCACATGTGACACTCGTCGTGTTACTCCTTTAAAACACTTTGATAAGTTATATCAAGTGATAAGACATCACGCAATAGCGGATTGGTAATTGACTCTTATCAAAACTATGAAAGATTGCCTGAAATAATAGTAGTATAAATTGACTGGTCATGATTATAAGCCTTCTTTTTAAAGCGCCAAAAAATAAGAAGATGCGGTATGATTGCCAATGAGACAATTCTCCACCAGAGACCATGTGACGTAGAATTTAGCAACCAACTATAATTCCTTCTCGTATTACACAAAGCTGTCACGTGAATATTGCCTGATGCATTTGTTGGAATCAATCTCGGCCTTTTCACTTATATAGATAGATATTAGTAACGTCTTCTAAAATGCTCCACACTTGGTAATTCTTAGTCATAATTTTAAGTTTACCATATAGCTTTTAATTTTGCCATTTGATAAGGGACTTTCCGTTTTGAATTTTCCTTGGAGTTCGGTACTTTTGTAATTTTACTTTTTTATGTTACTAGTATATCAAACAGCTGAAGGTATTTGTCTAAAAAGCAATGAATAAAAGTATTATCATTGGCAATCTAAACTTTGACAAAATGTGCGTTATGTAGCCTAATTTAGATATGAAGGTCTTTCAGGTGGTATTCGCCAATTTTTTTTAGGATCCCTATCCAACTGCATCCATCTCCTTTTATCTATTTACTGGATACGATAGTGTATTTCTAATAATACATTACCCAAGTCCCATGATTCCTGATTAAATCATGGAAATGAAACGATATGGTCTGTTTCTCATTTTAACTTATCCGTTGTCAGCCCAACTGTATAATTTGCTTTTTTTCATGTAAAGTCAGTAAATAAATATCGTACGATTACTTCACAAGTAATTTGATACCAAAAAAAAATATAAAAAAAATAAAAGACTAGTACTTAAAACAGTGTCTGCGTACCATTCCGTCTAACATTGTGTGGGAATGGGTGGAGTTCGAATATTTTACCATATTGACTTAAAATAGACTTTCAATTTAGTATAAGAGAAATGATGAAAGGTCAAGTTTCATTTGCTTTGAATAAGATTTTCCTTTAAAGAAAAGTAATCCTTCAGCACATATACAATAAATTTAACTGCAATCCGAATCACGAAGAAAAATTTAAACTATGTGCATAGCTGATCTTTTTACTCACCTTTCAGATTTTATTTCATAATAAAAAATAAATTTATACGATTTCGTTTAGTTTTTAAAAGCATAAATATGAAAAGAGTGAAATGGTATGTTCTAAAGTTACCGATACAGTTGTGTGTTTACAATAAATACATGTCAGTTGTCAATCGTTATTAAGTATACATTGATGTCGAAGTCATATCTACATTTGCACCCACTCACTTAGTCAAAGTTAGCCTTAGATGAAGCTAGCTATTCTTTTTAGGTCCATATTTATCATGAGGCCCTTAACGATTCTACACATTTATACATCTCTCACATTAAAAAAATCTGGTTCAGTGTTCCTGATGAAGGTTAATCCAGAGAAGTTTCGAACGTACGAAATTTATAAAGTGTTATTTTCATTTACTTGAGGGGCCTCGGTGGCTTAGTGGTGCACTCGACTCCAATCTTAATTGACTAGGATTGTCAGTTTTCCTATCGAAGGTCGGTGGTTTTCTCCGGAAACTCCGGATTCCTCCACCAATAAAAACTGGCCGCCACGAAATAGGCCAAAAGCGGTGCTTCAAAGTGGCGTTAAAACACCAAAAATCAAAATCAAAATCAAATCATTTACTTGCACTTGGTCGATAACACTGCTGGTGAACTATTAGTTCATGAGGCTATCATCAGCTAAGTCGTCACTGCTTCGGGTTATTAAATGATTTATAACACTGTTTTAGAAATCCCTGTTGACAAATTATGATTTTTTTTTAAAGAAACCAACGTTCCAATACCTTCACAGCAAAGTTGGTTTAGATGAACTTGCCAATGGGTATTCTTTTTATGTCCGTTTTTTTTTTTCTTACAGATTCTAACTTGTCTACAAATAAATACATCCATGGATTTAAAAAAAAAATGGTTTTCATCAAGAGCGTTTCTGATGAAAACCAAAATATTTTGAGAGCCATGGATGTATTTATTTGTAGAAAAGTTTAGGAGCTTTATAATAAAACCGGAAAAGCGTTTCGATCGCACGTCATTTTTAAAGAGTAGTTTTTTGTATTGCGGTAAAGAGAACACACAATTTACAGGTTTCCGTGTACAACTAGTTTTTCCCACGAAACAGTTGCATTTTTTCACTCTCCCAGTGATTAACAAAATTTATTTCTAATTTGCATACGATGAAAGCAAAGCAATTATATTCAAACTTGTTTTTTTTATATAAATCTTTGTTAACGGTTCATATAACATTGAATAATGAGAATCAACATCACAATTATGAAATGATATGCAAATAACATATCATTATGTAAGAGAAATACGATATTTAACTTGCCATGAGCAATACGTTGGTTGCCTCTAGTGGAATCGAAAATTATTACCTTTCCGGACCATTGAGTTCACATGATTAATTGTTACTTTAATTAATTAACTTTTAATTTTTAGCTCATCTGGCCCGAAGGGCCAAGTGAGCTTTTCTCATCACTTTGCGTCCGTCGTCCGTCGTCGTCGTCGTCGTCGTCGTCGTCCGGCGTCGTCTGTTAACTTTTACAAAAATCTTCTCCTCTGAAACTACTGGGTCAAATTTAACCAAACTTGGTCACAATCATCATTGGGGTATATAGTTTTAAAAATGTGTCCGGTGATCCGGTCAACCAACCAAGATGGCCGAAATGGCTAAAAATAGAACATAGGGGTAAAATGTAGATTTTGGCTTATATCTCTGAAACCAAAGCATTTAGAGCAAATCTGACAAAGTAAAATTGTTTATCAGGTCAAGATCTCTCTGCCCTGAAATTTTCAGATGAATATGACAACCCGTTGTTGGGTTGCTGCCCCTGAATTGGTAATTTTAAGGAAATTTTGCCGTTTTTGGTTATTATCTTGAATATTATTATAGATAGAGATAAACTGTAAACAGCAATAATGTTCAGCAGAGTAAGATCTACAATTAAGTCAACTTGACCAAAATGGTCAGTTGACCTCTTAAGGAGTTATTGCCCTTTATAATCAATTTTTAACCATTTTTCGTAAATTTTTGTAATCTTTTACCAAAATCTTCTCCTCTGAAACTACTAAGACAAATTTAACCAAACTTGTCCACAATCATCATTAGGGTATATAGTTTAAAAAATGTGTCCGATGACCCCGCCCGCGAACCAAGATGGCCGACATGGCTAAAAAATAGTACATAGGGTAAAATGCAGTTTTTGGCTCATATCTCTGAAACCAAAGCATTTAGAGCAAATCTGATATGGGGTAAAATTGTTTATCAGGTCAAGATTTATCTGCCCTGAAATTTTCAGACCAATCAGGCAAATCGTTGTTTGGTTGCTGCCCCTGAATTGGTAATTTTAATGAAATTTTGTCGTTTTTGGTTATTATCTTGAATATTATTATAGATAGAGATAAACTGTAAACAGCAATAATGTTCAGCAAAGTAAGATCTACAATTAAGTCAACTTGACCAAAATGGTCAGTTGACCCCTTAAGTAGTTATTGCCCTTTATAGTCAATTTTTAACCATTTTTCGTAAATTTTTGTAATCTTTTACAAAAATCTTCTCCTCTGAAACTACTAAGACAAATTTAACCAAACTTGTCCACAATCATCATTAGGGTATATAGTTTAAAAATGTGTCCGATGACCCCGCCCGCGAACCAAGATGGCCGACATGGCTAAAAATAGAACATAGGGGTAAAATGTAGATTTTGGTTTATATCTCTGAAACCAAAGCATTTAGAGTAAATCTGACATGGGGTAAAACTGATTATCAGGTCAAGATCTATCTGCCCTGAAATTTTCAGACCAATCAGGCAACACGTTGTTGGGTTGCTGCCCCTGAATTGGTAATTTTAAGAAAATTTTGCAGGTTTTGGTTATTATCTTGAATATTATTATAGATAGAGATAAACTGTAAACAGCAATTATGTACAGCAAAGTAAGATCTACAAATAAGTCAACATGACCAAAATTGTCAATTGACCCCTTAAGGAGTTATTGCCCTTTATAGTCTTTTTTGTACAATTTTTTCATAAATTTTGTAAATTTTTGTAAATTTTTACAAAATATTTTCCACTGTAACTACTGGGCCAAGTTCATTATAGATAGAGATAATTGTAAGCAGCAAGAATGTTCAGTAAAGTAAGATCTACAAACACATCACCATCACCAAAACACAATTTTGTCATGAATCCATCTTTGTCCTTTGTTTAATATGCACATATACCAAGGTGAGCGACACAGGCTCTTTAGAGCCTTTAGTTAATAACGTGTGACGAGTTGTTCGTTTTTGGTTTTTGGTTTAGTTTTGTTTTTTTTTTGGGGGGGGGGGGATACTTTTGAGTTTTTTTGGTCTCTTTTAACAGTGGTGTTGCCTGTACTTCGACTTATTGTTTTGATTGTCCTTTGGTATCTTCTTGATTCTTATGAAGTCACAAACTGCTTTTCCGACATACTTTTTAATTCATGGAGGTATTTGGTTGAGGTTGGTTTCAATTAACAGTAAATGACCACTCCAGCTTCTTTTCGTCGTTTCAAATATAAATGTCGATCTTACTAGAAAACAAATTGTTAAGATATTCAAACTTTCTTCGCTCCCGTTTAGTAAAGAAATATGGTTTAAAACCTTAAGTCAAAACGTATTGTTGTAAGATCGGCAATATTTCACCTTTATCTAAAACATTCAACATGTACATTCGGAAGTTAGCTGAAAGTTGTAATAGAGTTTCCAACGGGTAAAACCAGTTGTTCACCTTAAAACCCATGTACCGACTTCTATGCACTCGTGAACCCTCCCCATTGGTCTTCAGTTTGGAGGTAAATACAGTTATGACAAGCATTTATGATTTGTTAAAGTACATATTCCATCAATTCTGTGTATCGTAAAATATAAAGATTTGAATCTTTCTTGTATGTATTTTCAAAAGAACATACCTAGGCCCTAAAGTGTTGAAAACTATCTTAAAGGTATTTTTATTTGGGTATTATATAATATGAACTTTATATAAGCGTGTGATAGAATACAATTAATCATGACTCGACAACTCGGTTATCCCTAATAAAAACATTAAACAGTGGTTATTTTAATCTTGATTTAAAGTGCTTATCAAATTAAAACAAACATTCCAAATAACCCTGATTATACAACGGAATGATAAAGGAAAAATGATATGTATGTACTATGTACACATATATCAAAATTCAACGTGAGCATGATCTTATATAGAGTCTATTAGATGTTCCATCTGTCAATCACTTGTATAAATAAATTCAAGGTAAAATAAATAGTAGCCTCAATTGAGGATACTTCGGAATAAAGAGGAATTATTTACGTTTTCGATGCTCAACAGAAAGCTCCTAAACAGCAGTAATGTCTCTTAGCTAAGAATGCAGCTGCAGTCTCGCCTGTAAATGATTGATAGTTTCTTCACTTTGGGTCCCTTTTGTCTATAGTTTTCGATTTATATTATACCGTTTGGGGTGACAATTTTTTTTTTTTTACTTTTAAAGGTTTTTTTTCTTTTGACAACCGTCTTGTATTTCAACTTTGAGAAAAGGCCTTAAACTGTAACAGTTCATTACTTGGAAAATGCTGCAACATTTGTCATGGAATCAGCACTTTCAAATTTTCTGATTTGCATTTTGAACACTACATTTTGTTGCTTTCGGTCTATCACACATGATTTTATTTTACACAAACTGTTTTCAATCTGAACAAAAATTCACAGCATCATGTGTGTATTTTGCCGTATTGGCGTATTTCTGAACATTAAAAATTGAGCAAGCCATAAGCCAAAAGATGGCCCAAAACTGCAATTTTTATAGTTATGTTTTTTTCAGACACAAATTAAATAAATTTGATTCAGCTGGCTGTCATATTGTTCGCAATATTTAACAAAACATTTACAATTTAAAATAGTGTATCAGAATATGTCTCAGCAGCAATGTGTAGCGCTAAATTTCAGTTTGCTATCTGCTGAATTTGTTTCAGCAGCAGCGTGTGGCGCTAAATTTCAGTTTGATATCTGCAAAATTTGTTTCACCAGCAATGTATAGCGCTAAATTCCAGTTGGATATCTGCAAAATTGGTTTCAGCAGCAATGTATAGCAGCGCTTAATTCCAATTTGATATCTGTAAAATTGGTTTCAGCAGCAGTGTGTAGCGCTAAATTCAGTTTGATATTTCATTGAAAAAAATAAGTATACTATTTAGCCTCGTTAATATTTAAGTGTTAGACTAGTAAGTTCACCACTTTCCTGTATTTGACCCTGTCAGTGAAACAAAATAATTCAAAACTCTTTCGGATGAGACTTGGTTGAAGATAGGAAAATTATGTATATAACCTATGAAGAACAAACGAATGTGCGTGGGGAAACAAAATAGGACAGTGGTCAAATATAAAATAAAAGGTAAACGTTTTTTTTTTAATTATCTAACGCACATTTTAAGTGCTAATTTCTAATTTCAGTTTACAACTTGATTGCTCAATTCTTCATGCTCCATTTACTGTTCTTTTTATTTCTTTACTACAGAACTCGACTATTTCGCCCTTCAAGAACATATGGTCCATGATATATTTGATTTTATTTTAAGACAATTAAATTCTTGCAGACAGTAGGAGTTCAACTTGTATTAAATATGCACTCATTCTTATGAATCAGTTCTAAAAAAAATAATTTATTGCAGCAATTTATATCAGAAATTACAAAATTAGTATAATGAATAAAATTTGAACTTATGAATGAGTACGAGTGCTGGCAGATTGAATTCAGCTCAAATAAAAATATATATGTAAATCTGTTCTTAAACGTAAAACAGTCATGAAAATTGATTTGTAAAATACACGTGGGAGGTATTCAATTTAGTATCAAATTTATACATTTATCTTCATTTTTATGTTCAATCATTGCACTGTCGCTAAATTGATGAATTAGAATAGTATGACTAAAATATTTGCTGTTGTATTTTTAATTTTTCATATCAATACATAAGTCAATCTTTATTTCAATGCAACTTGTAACTCGAATAATTCACTCCCTATCCGTGTCCGATTTTTTCCCACACGAGGCATAATTAATGCAGCCATCGTAGAGCAGCGGAATATATGACTGAATTATTTGGGTTATGTAATTCGTTGTGATATTCTTCAGAGTTGTATGCTGGATAAGAATCGTATTTCGGTAACATCTATACAATTAACCATAAAGTTTTGATCATTTATTAAGATCAAAAAATTTTGTTTTACGAAAAAATCAAAGACACCAAGAACCAAAACACTTTATGACATGAAAAACATAAAAAAAAAAATCACATTGACCCCAAAAAAAGACAAAATAGTCCATCTTCTTCTTTTATTCCTATAACACAGGAAAGTAAAGGTTGATGTTAGAAGCTCCGGAAGGGTAATAAGACCTGCTCCATTAAGATCATCCGTTGCGTTCCTCGCAACATATATATAAATTTCGATGATATATCATACTTAGTAAACGTTGACAAATGGTCATCTGTGACATGATTACATAATAGTCAATGAAGTCAAAATGCCAAAAACGATTTACCCTTCTCATCTTTTTTATGTAACAATATTATAGTACTTTGCCTAATTCCGGATTTTGATAATTTTATACTATGATGTCAAATTCTTAAACTGGACCCTATTCTGATAATATGGAGAGAGACATTTTTTTATTGAAATAATACAAGGGATAACAGGAATCATCAAATACACTGAACAGCACAACGGACCACTCTAACCATCAAAGTCCAACTCCTCCGGAAAATGAGACACAAAAGCAAAATCGAACAACATCGAACTTTGAACAACTTAACTTTGAACCCGTAACAAAGTACAAAATGTATAGACAGTATGTCGAATTTATATTAAAATTCAATGTATGAATTAAATCTAGTTCAATGTGTATAAATCAATGTTCATGTGAGTTTCCTGTACGCAATAAATTAGTCTTATTTTAGAGGGGTGTTCAATGATACTCATTTCAATCCTTGTTAACATGATTTATTTGACCTCTGACCTTTCTAGAGTTATTCCGTGCATATGCATGTCTCACAGGATGATTAGTAACTGTAATATTCGGTTCGCTAATCTCGTTGTTATTTGCCTCCGAATTTCCTCAACCCTCTGACCCTACCAGTCTTACCGTCCGCCTTCTCATTTAAAATTATTTCAATGAAGGTGTTATGTCACGTGTAAATGGTGTCTTCCGGTGCACATGTTTGTGTATCAATTTTGTGTTGACCAGATGTAGGTTCATATTGGTAAACCATCTATTTATTTATATGAGTGTACAAGATGAGAAAAGAATGTTAAAATATTAACTGTTCCTTATATTTTTATTATTATCGTGTGCAATCAAAACATGAATGACAATTCAAAATTTTCGGCTTCATTAATTTTCATCACATATTGCCTAAAGCTTGCACAGAACACTTTGATATCAAATTATCTCTACCGATTTATCTAAAAGATGACGCCTGGTAACATTTGTTTTGCAACTTGCATTTTATATTTATACACTTTCTGTAAATAATCACTTCGTAATTACCCTTAAGACAAACATATCGTGATTGAAGGCGTTTAAAAATTTCAAGAGTTTTAAAAATTTGGCGGCATAAAGGAGTAGTAAAATACGAAAACAATCACATATATGGTTAAAAGTCCATACATAATACCTTTAAATTCTGTGAAAATTTGTGGGAAAGTTTAATATGTGCGTTTTAACATATTCCTAAAAGCTTACAGTTCATATTAATTGT